GAACTTTCCCAGCCGAAATTTCTCCGGGTACCGAATCCTGACAATAAAAATGGTTTTCAACTACTACAGCAAGCCTGGAAACCCCGATGCCAACGGCGAGAGAGCGGTCGCTGAAAACATTGTCGAGGACAAACAGGGTCAACAATGGTTGGTGCTGACCGCCAAGCAAATGACTTTCCTCCCCGTTGCCGTCTCAGACGCCGTCCGGTTCATCGTGCTGCACATATACGGCGGTGCCTACTTCGACATGGATGTGCTCATGCTCAGAGACATGCGCCCACTGCTGCTGCCCGAAGAGCATGCCTTCGCCGAACGTTGGGCTGCCCATCCTCATCCTGGCGACTACAATACAGCCATCATGTCGCTCTCCGCTAATTCATCTCTGTCCTCCTATCTACTCTACGGTGGTGTTCGCATGGGCGTCAACTTCCACCCCCGCGTCCTGGGTCGCATGGCCTGGAAGGACGGCCGTGATCGGGAATTCAAAATGTTCGAAACGGCAGCATTCGACCCCATCTGGACCGAGTTCAACTGGGATCGCGAGGGTCGCTGCACGGTACCCTGCATCCGCGACTACAGTGCAGTCTTCAAAGGCAAGGCTGGTGCCATCAAAGATGAATGGGAGAGCTACGATGGCCAGCAACTAGAAGCCATCAAGCTCGCAGAGCAACACAGAGAGCTTCGATCTCTGCCTGACATGGACCACACCCACGGTAACGAAACACCCTCTGCCAAGCATGACGACAAGGAGATACACGCTGATTCCTTCCAACCTACTCTCGATGAAGAAGTCGAGTTACGCAAGGCTGGAGTCGTCTCTGACTACATTCTGGCCGAAGACAAGTTTCCTCCTAACAATCGCACACTGGAGAACTTTTTCAGAGGCGCGTGGACATATCATATCCACAACCAAGTAAGTTTGTCCTCGACTCGTTTTCTGTGGGCTCGTTTCCGGCTCCCATCTCCAGCTCCGACCATTCACCCGATATCCTAAAGCACCGATAGACCAGCTCAGCTCCCCCCAGCCGTGTCATCTTGCCATGCCCGATCAAGCACGCAACACTCAGCTAATGCATACACTAGTGGCTCAAGCACCCTGAACCCTCTTCCTGGCTCTCCGTTCTCGAACAAGCGCAAGACGGCTTCTTCGCTCGCAAACGCACGAATCCGTATGGCGAGAAGTGGACAGGACCAGATTTGATGCCATATAATTACTGGCCAGAGTTTGTTTGAGCATGGCAGTGCTGGTACCGAGCATTTCACTCCTCCCTCTAGTTCACGCAGGTGCAGGACTATGGAGGTCGCTGCGTCGTGCCTTTCACTACAGGAAGATGTCTATTTGCCCGCAGGATGCATCGGCAAACGCGCCGGCCATTCAGGTGGCCAAGAATCACGTATTTTGTATTGACCATGGCCACGATCCACCTCCATCTCACGATTGCATCCCATCGCATCGCGCTCTACCTCAAGCTCAAGCCAAGTGGCAAGCATTTTTCCTCGGCGTTCTGGATCTCTGATCAATCCATGTCCACTGGTGTGGACGGTGTTCCTGGCGCATACAAGGCCTGTCATGTGTGAGCGTATCGGTGATCTTGTTCTATATCCCTCGTTTCCACCCTCGCTTCAGTAGCTCGAGGACTTGTTCTGTTTTTACCTGTCGTTATTCCTGTTTGAGACAAGAGATGTGTATAGGCAACAAGGATACACTTGGATCAGTTGAAATGTAAATTTACAATAGCAATGCAAACGCTCCAATGCTCAAACGCTCATGGCCGCGAGTCAGTTGGGTTCTGCCACGATTCACACATGGGATGTGCGTGTCAACCTAGCAAGACGTCTTTAACAAAACTGTAGTGACCCACTATAGAGACGTTTGCTCTGCACACTTGACTCATGCTCATTTCGGTCTTGAGTTGCCGTGTCAATGGACCATGCAGAGCTGCAAATAGCGTTTCCATGCGCTCTAACCACGATTTTTTTTCAATTCCCCCTGTCTCACCTGGCGTGTATCCTACAAATCAATAAGTGGCTCTTCTACCACCTTCTGCTGTACCGGGAACTGATTCTGCGGCGCAGACGGGAAACTCTCCGGCCCGTACCCGCCCGTCGCATACGGGGCCGACTGCCACGCCGACGACTGTTGTTGTTGTGGAGCTTGTTGATGCTGTTGCCAAAACTGCTGCTGCTGCGGTTGCTGTGACGGCGCCTGCTGTGGTGGCTGATGTGACGGAGTTTGCTGCTGGTGCTGATGCTGCTGTAATTGTTGTGGTGGTGGTTGGCTCTGGTCTTGCTGCGGACTCTGCGGTTGCCAGTTCGGAGGCTGATCTTGTTGTGGGTAAGGTGGATTTTGCCATGCTGTTGCAGGCTGTTCGGGGTGTGACAAAGGCAATTGAGGTTGGTGTGAGGGCTGAGAGGTATAGCTTTGAGCTCGTTGGAGGGTTTGCTGTGCTGCATTATTTTCGCCGTAGTAAAAGCTTGCGCTTTCGGCATCCGATACATTTGAAGGTGGAGCTTGGGATGGATAAGCAGAGGATTGTGAACTATAATGCTGGGTTGAGACTTGACGTTGTAATTCTGGTGACGCAGATTGATGGTAAGGCGTGCTAGACTGTTGTTGTTGTGGTTGTGGTTGGTGTGATAGGTTTGGGTATGGTTGCTGAGGCTGATCGTGAGGCTGATCATAGGACTGTGGCGGTAAGGGCGTTCGCTGATCGTACTGTGGATATGAATGTTGAGATGCTGACTGATGACTAGCATTATATTGGGGCTGCTGTCTTGCGTATTCTCTTCCGTGAGCGGTAGTACTCGAATAATAGTCTTCACCCGTCGTGCTAACGGCGTGGCCTGATTGGATGCTGGGGTACAGGTTTGAAGTTGGGCGTTGCGCAGGTGCGGGAAGGCCATACATGGCGTTGGGTTGATTGTATGTACTTGACAATCGTTCCTCAAGCATGCGATCGTAATATCGTACAACGGTAGACAGCTTTGCATGGAGATCGAGTAGAGTTTCTATGAGAGTCAGGGATAAGTTGATTCCATTCCATGACAACTGATTTTTTTTCTGGCTTACCATGTTTGCTCATCGTTTCGCCATAGCTCCGGGCAAGCTTCGGTCGCAGTTTCCCTATGCTCTCGTATAGTTCTTGTATCTGAGGCTCGCGAAGGACGGTACCAGGAGGCTGGTGTTGTAACCGATCGACGAGAGTGGAGAAGAGATTGATGTTTTCCGACTCGACTGGTGTCAGCTCATAGTCATTCTTCGGCGCAACGAAAGGGTCTGTTCCATTCGAGGTAGAGGTCTGCTGTCGGAATGTGTCGGCATATTTCTTCTTCTGCTCCTCCATGTCTGCAAGCGAGGCCGCAATAGCCGCGGCGAGATCAGCATCTTCTTCTTCTTCAGTGTCCTTTTTCGTTGTCCCGTTTGCTGACTTTGATTGTGATTGCGGGACAAAACCAGTTGAGGCGCTATTTTTTACCTCTTCCAAACTCATCTCCAGTGCGCGCTTGAGGTCGGCGTCGAAGCTGTCCTCGACACGTGCACTTCGGGGTTGCATAGAGCTTTGGTATAATGTCTTTTGAGGCTTTGCCACATCAAACGGTCTGGATAAAGGAACGCCTCGAGACCTGTCGGTCAACCTCTCGTAGCAGCCATCATCTACACGAACAGGGTCCATGATACCAAGATGAGGTAGTGGGATGGTCTTGCTCGAGCAGGCTCCACAGAAGACATTCCCACAGTTGCGACAATGATGCTTCCGATTTGTAAAGGTAAATGGCGTCCGACAGCGCATGCACACGTCCGAGTCGATCCATTCTGGAGGCTGTCACATGTCAGCTTACATGACTGCGAGATGGCTTGCGAACGGACTGACCGCGCTACTGTCCAGCATGCTACTAGCTATGTCTTCCTTTGGAGGGAAGTTGAAGCCTTCACGTTGGAGGCTACGGTAGACTTCATTGATGTAGCCTAGATTGCTTCGGCCCTCGGCGGCCGTGGCCCATGACTGGATCAACTCGAGCATCTTGCCTTTGACGTCGTGGTTCGGGGCGATTGTGGGAGGGGCGCGTAGCAACGAGGTCATGTTATCGAGGAACTCTCGCGAGGCGATCTCTTGAATGAAATGGGCGCCGCCATTCTTGACGCATGTGTCTGTGAGCTGGGGAGATGGTCAGTTGAACGGCAGGTGGGTGGACACGGCGCCGGGGCCTGAGTGCGTACATTGAGTGTGGCTAGTTGGACGTTGGGGTTCTTGTGGCCTATGCGCTTCTTCAACGCGCGCATGGCATCTTTGGGCTGCACCGTTTTGGATCGAATGACATCTGATATCTCGAGGTTCAAAGGCATGTCCTCCCTGTAACAGAAGTCAGTAGAAGAGCAGGGCAGGCAGAGAGATGAGATGGGGGGATGATAGGGGGGGAGCGTGGATTGCGTACAGGCTGGAAGATGTGGCGCGCTCAATCTGCTCATCGAGCGCGCTGGTGGTCGAGGAGCCGAACCAGCTCGCCATGGTAGGCGCAAGGGAATGGCTGAGGGACGGCTTTGGTGGTTGTGACTGAACTGGGGCGAATGTTTGCTAGAAACGTGACGGTCTCGCTATGAATAGGGAGACGGGTAGGCAGATGGGCAGGCAGGTAGAGTAGGCAGACAGGTAGGCACCGTACGGTAGATGCTAAGCTATGTAAAGCTTGGTGCGGGGCCAGGGGGGTGGGGATGTGAGGTGAGATGGACTGTGGAGGGTGGGCGGGGGGAAGGGAAGGTTGGATCGAAGGCTGGTGGTGTTGGTTGGGGGTTCTCTCTGGTAGGCGTGCACTGTGTAGTCTGTACAGTAAGGCAGCCGTCGAGCCTTGTGTTGTACGGGGCGTTGGACTTCTCGAGGCCAGGGCCAGGGCATGATGAAGGGCTTGGCTGATGTCTCTGATGACGAGTGGCTGAGGAAGGAAGGAGCCGCACCGCCACCCAGCCGCAACAGCACCGCCACCCGCATCACCCGCATGACATACCTTGATAGCACTACTTGGCCATCTACCTGCTACTCTATACCTAGCACATGCCCACTTGAGGCCGGTCTGTCTACCGAGAGTTTGGCTTGGTGCTTTGAACCTGGTACCTACCTACACATCTATCTACTCTACTTTACTCTCCTAGTAGTCCAAGTTGCGTACACCAGGACGTACCGGTACCCCCACTCCCCCCCCCTTCTTTCCCCGCCGAGGAGAGCAAACAAAGTCGCAGTCAGACAACCGCACCGCCTCGGCGCATACATACAGTTACAGTACCCAGTAGCAACTGCGCACCCCCTCTATGCGCACATCCTCCTGAGATTTCTCTCTACTCCCCTCCCCACCCCTCCCCGCTCGCTGGACCATGCGTGACTGTTGTTTTGCTTTCGTGGTGCGGATATGAGTGCTGCTGCGCCGTTGCCACCCCCAAGGCCCACCACCGCCTACATCATGAACGGCTATACAAACGGGGCTCCCGGCGCGGCTGCACATGGCTGGAAAGGCAGCGATCATGGCAGTGATCGAGGCAGCGAACCACTGACTCCTGCGGGCCCGTATCCGCCTATTGCGGAGATTGTAGCGTCGGCTTCGGAGACGGTCGAGTCGCTCAGACACCATTCGGTACAGTACTCCTCGAGATGGAACCACTCTTGCACGTCCTGGTCGCTAATCGTGATCAGATGAAGCATCTGCTCGAGCAGGGCAGGAACCACTTCAACTCCGCCAAGGTCATGCTCAGCAACCGCGCTCCTGTCGCCGGCGCATACTGGGAGTACCTCGTTGCCTATCAAATCCTGGTGGACCTGATCCCTCGACATCCCGATTACTACGAGAAGATAGAAAACAGTCGCAATCAGACACACCGCGATTTCAAGCTCATAATCAAAGATATCAAGTCGAGTGAGGAACGCTTCGTCCGCATCAAGGACATTATCAAGAACGACAACAAGAGGAACGGTGCGCTGCACAAGTCTACTTCCTCACTATCCGCTCCTCGCCCACCCTCTCGCAACGGATTATCATTACCAAGACGCGACGACGAATTGATGCTCCCCGATGTCCCTACTTCCGCACCAAGTTCCTCTCCACAATCACCGCCAAGAAAACCTCCCGTGCAACCCAAACCTCAGTCGCTCCATGGCCGAGCTGTGAACGCAAACGTATCATCAGCAACGGCAGTAAATGACCTTGCCCAGAGACTGGCAAATTTGAGAGGCACAGTCCAACCAGTAGACACCAGCTCGACTCGTCCCAGTCAAGATAATTCAGTCAAGATGCCCTCACCTGCAGACTTCCACTCATCAGCACGCCCCCTGGGTCCACGAGAGATGCCGCCACCTCCCCTCCACATGCCGCCACCTCCGCCGATACTAGCTCTAAATACGCAATTCGCTGCTTCGTTACCAAAGGAGCCTAGTCCAACCTATAGCCCTGCCCGAAACATCTCTGGACCTCTGAGCATCAATCCTCCGCGAAGTACTCCCAGAAGCATGCTTGGCACCGGTGGGCGAAGCAACTCCCTGGCGGCCTCCAGTGCCTCCAGTCACGCGCCTAACAGTAATGGTGTTTCGGACTCGTATTTCCCCACTCAACCCTCCTCTCGGGGTGTGACTAGCCGGAAGATGTCAGTCAGCAAATCTGTTGAACTGGAAATTGATGCCAGCAAACTGTACGACTACTTCCGCATGTACAATGTACTCTTGATAGATGTGCGAAACAGAGCAGAGTTTGATGCGGGCCACATCTATGTACGCAATATCATATGCATAGAGCCGCTATTGCTGAGAGAGGGTGATTCGGCAGACCAACTTCTCGAACGACTTGTCATTTCCCCGGACGATGAGCAGGCCATGTTTGAAAGGCGGCATGAGTATGACGTGGTGGTATATTACGACGAGTCGACACAGAATATTGACTTTCTCGACAGACGTGATCGGACAGAAGCTCAAGTAGCGCTTAAGCGTCTTTTTGACATACTCCATGAGTTCAATGCAGACAAACCTTTGAAGCGCCCTCCTGTGTTCTTGAAAGGAGGTCTCGATGCATGGGTTGATTTGGTCGGATCACAAGCATTGCGAGTATCAACAACTGCCGGTCTGGGGTCGACGGGTGATCAACGACCTCGAGCTATCCGGCGGTCGCCAGCTGCCAGCCACGTCGCAAGAAGCAGTCTTCAGAAGCGGAGACGGCGGGAGTATGTTCCAATGGACCCGGAAGAAGAGCAGAAGTGGCTAGAAGAGGCTCGGAAAGGCAGAGCAGCTGTCGATATACCTGCTGCAGAGGAGGAGGATGACGATGCAGGCGAGCTGCCTTTCTACCGTTCGACTGAAGAGTTCTTGCGGAGGTATCCAGACGTGGAACCCGAGCAGTCAATGATGTACCCTTCCAAGAAGTTCCTGTCGACAAATCAATACGTTGCTCCGGCTATCCCAGTTGTGCCTTCCCGACCACCTCCGTCTGTCCCTCGTGTGAGTTATAGTGGTGTGCACGAGCGTCAAGTTTCGCAACAGAGTCGCAATCAGCAAGCTTCCGCCCATTTGTCACATTCACGTTACATCAACGTGAAGCTACACCGGACTGGGCTCCTCAATTTTGGAGTGACGTGCTATATGAACTCCGTGGTGCAGTGTTTGAGTGGTACCTTGTCACTTTCGGACTTGTTCCTCACCCAACGCTATCAAAGGGATCTCCAGAGAGACAATTGGAAGGGGACCAAGGGCATTCTTCCCGAGGCGTATGCAACCTTGCTATCGAACCTTTACAAAGGCGATGTTGGCTCTGTACGCCCCAGTACCTTTAGGGTAAGAAACAAAACAGTGACCTTTTGAATTCGTCGCTGACAATCTACAGAGGATTTGCGGTCATTTCAACTCGCAGTGGGGTGTGGATGAGCAGCAAGACGCAAAGGAGTTCCTTGAATTTGTCTTGGACTACATGCACGAGGATCTCAACATTACCTGGAACAAGTCGCCACTGAAACCGCTCAGTGATCAGCAAGAGCTGCAACGGGAGCAGTTTCCGCGGCAGTATGCTGCAAAAATCGAATGGGGGCGCTATCAACATCGCGACATGTCTGTGATTGGCGGTATATTTGCCGGTCAACACGCATCACAGCTTACATGCCAGACTTGTGGTGTTACCAGTACAACCTACGAGGCATTTTGGAGTATCAGTGTAGAAATCCCGCGCGAAGGACAATGCGATGTGCGGGACTGTCTGCGATCGTACTGTGCGCCGGAACGGCTTGCGGGAGACGAGCTATGGCGGTGTCCCCGCTGTAAGAAAGATCGTGAGGCGGTGAAGAAGATTACGATCACACGTGCTCCTGAAACGCTCGTCATTCACTTCAAGCGATTCAGTGCCTCGCGAACGGAAAGCGCTCGCAAGGTCCGAACGCCAGTGCATTTCCCGCTGCAGGGCCTAGACATGGCACCCTTTGTCGAGCCGCCAATGACGCCTACGCAAGAGGCATACATTACACAAAATGCGCGAGACGGTCCTGCTCAGTTGGCCAGCGTCAAGGCAGACCCGACAATGAATGGGCCGTACATCTACAATGCGTATGCCGTCATCTGGCATATCGGAGCTACTCTGGGGAGCGGCCATTACACGGCGTTTGTCAAGGACAAATCGCGCGGCTCCTGGCGGTCCTTCAACGACGACAAGATCACTGACTTCGATCCTGGAAATCTACCACCGCACAGCCGGTTACAAAACGAAAAGGCATACATTGTGTTCTATGAGCGCGAACAGGTTGCTGGGGGGGCATCCTTCTGATTCGCTTGTTGCTGGGTACTTTACTTGTCCTTTGCATGCCAGCGCTTTCTTTGTTACCTCCAGCTGTAGGATGCCTGGCGTTTACTATGAGGCTTATGATATCAGGCCATTGCTATCGAGCGTTTGCAGCCATTCCTAGTGCTTTCTTTTGGGGGTGAAGCTTATACACAAATAAAAGACACAATGTCCATGCGGAAACCAGCGATTAAACGATGATACAGGACTTGTATTCGTACGTGCACAGCTCAAGACGGTGTCAAGTTCAAGTAGAAGAGAGAGAGAGAGAGAGAGAGAGACGATGTGGGACGTGAGCCAGGTATACCGCAGAGAAACTCTGATGAAAGGGCTGAAAGGGTTGCCCGCCTTAGACCGATGATCGGCCCGCAGTCGCGCCAGACTTTATGCTGATAGGCTTATCAGCACTTGTCCCACCTACTAGCCACCATCCCCAGGATACAGAATAACTTTATCTGAGGGAGGGGCTTTTTTTTTCCAATTGCCCGCTGCCAATTGACTCACCGTACCTTACCTTACCTCACCTTTAACTTACCTTCACACTCACACATCCAATCCATCAACCGTTGCCACCACTCTCAAAACCCCCAAAGGTTGCCATCATGTCAAAGGGACGCGTCTGTCTAGCATATTCTGGTATGTATCCTGGCAGTCGCTCAAACCATTGTATACAAATCTCCATATACTGCATCGGACTGATGCGATGCACTAGGCGGCCTCGACACATCCACCATCCTCAAATGGCTTATTGGTATGCCCCAGTACTGCTCGCAAGGCGCTGCGAGGTAAGCTAACGTGAGTTTGCAAAGAGGAGGGCTATGAGGTTGTCTGCTTTCTGGCCAACGTTGGTCAGGAGGAGCCCTGGGACGAGGTGGAGAAGAAGGCGCTCAAGATTGGCGCGCTGAAGATGGTGATTCTCGACCTGCAGCGGGAATTCGTCGAAGAGCTCTGCTTCCGCGCGGTACAGTGCAACGCCTCGTACGAAGGCCGCTACCTGCTCGGCACCTCGCTGGCCAGGCCCGTCATTGCCCGCGCCCAGATCCGCGTCGCGCAACAAGAAGGCTGCGGCTTCGTCTCGCACGGCTGCACGGGCAAGGGCAACGACCAGGTTCGCTTTGAGCTCGCCTTCTACACCCTCCAGCCCTCGATCAAGGTCATTGCGCCCTGGCGGCTACCCGAGTTCTGCGACCGCTTCAAGGGCCGCCAGGATTTGCTTGACTATGCCGAAAAGCACAACATCCCCGTCACATCCACAAAGGCAAAGCCCTGGAGCATGGACGCCAACTTGGCTCACTGCAGCTACGAAGCAGGTTTGCGCATCCACTGGCCACTGCCTCGGTCTTTGCTAACACCCTCCAGGCATCCTCGAGGATCCCAATGTCTCGCCACCAGACGACATGTGGACCATGACCGACAGCCCGCTCAACGCTCCCAACGAGCCCGTCGACATCACAGTGCACTTTGAAAAGGGCGTTCCCGTCAAGCTTACAACACCAGACAAGACCTATACCGATTCCGTCGAGCTATTCACCGCGCTCAACAAGCTCGGATTCATCCACGGCATTGGTCGGATCGACATTGTCGAGAACCGCTTCATCGGCCTCAAGTCCCGCGGCTGCTATGACTCCCCCGCCATGACCATTCTCCGCCTTGCACATTTGGATCTCGAGGGTCTAGTCATGGACGCACAGGTCCGTAACTTGCGCGACCAATTCGTCAGTCACAATTGGAGCTACCAGTTGTACAATGGCATGTACTTCTCGCCTGAGCGTGAGTTCATCGAGAACAGTCTCCTGTTTTCCCAGCGCAGGGTCAATGGTGAGGTTAGGCTGAAGCTCTACAAGGGCAACGCCTACGTTCTCGGTCGTTCCAGTCAGACGGAGAAGCTGTACTCCGAGGAGGAGGCTTCCATGGATACCCTGGACAATTTCAGCCCTATGGATACCACCGGCTTTATTGCCATCCAGAGTATAAGGTTGAAAAAGTATGGCCTCCAGAAAGCTGAGGAGGGTGCCAACATGAGCCGTGCATAGGATAGATGACATCCTGCAACCTGCATTCTCCTGTTAGACCATGGACATGATCTAACGAACTAGATGTGATGGAAGTTTGCCAAAATAGTCTCTCGGGCTAAGATGATATACCGAAATTTAAAATTTGACATGGTCTCCAAGACCAACCATCTCCCCATTGGAGTCATGTCTTTCATTACTACTGTTGTAATTTTGCAGAAGCGGAACCTGGTTAATGTGACTAGACTAGTCTAATTCCTTTTACACAGGCTCTTGGCAAATTGAAGAGATAGGCCATGGCCGAGCAAAAGAAGGAAAAGTCTTACGGTGTGGTCGCCATTCTGCTGCCCTGTTCATGGGAAACAGCTGCATAGGAGATAAGAGCAACAATGTATAGCAACTGGAAGCATTGCTAGGCTCGTACAGTCTTGTCCGGTTTGTTCTCATGCCAGGTTGCTATCTTGACCACCGTATAGGGTTCAGGAGAGACACTGGACACTCCTAGTCGCCCAAAATATATGAGCAATACATATGAATGTAATGAATTTGACTATAAATCTGCGTGTCCAGTGTGATTCTCGGCATCTAATACGTGGCCAAGCGCCCAGTTGATGCAATGCTACGAAGTGCCTTTTGCCACCAAGATCATCCCTTTGAACTACCCCCATCAAACCCCCGATCCAACTTCTTCAACGCCTCCTCCGCCTCCGCCGCCCTCTCTTCTCCACCCCTTAGCCCCTGCACCCTCGGTAGATCCCGCATAACCTGCTGTACTAACTCCTCCAATGCCTTCGGATCCCGCATCCCCATATCGATCTTCGCCTTTCCTTTTCCCGGATCTCGCGACGGGAGCTGTTGAGGCAGTGGTTGGCGTTTTCGTAGCATAACCTGGCCTTTACTATCCATGTACGTCTCATAACCCTGTTGATCTAGGACTTCATCTGGAACACGTACGTTCACCGGTGCTCTATTTTCCCCAGGTGCGTCTGGCGCAGAAGGCGCAGCAGTCTTTGCTTTTGAGTCTTGATTGTATTTCTCGAGCGCGCGGATTCGGTCTTGATTCTCTTTGTTTCCCTCCATAAGAAAACGCAGACACATAATTGCATGCTCGCGGATGTAGGGATTGTGTTCGTCGTACGAACAGCAATTTAGAACAGCTTCGATGCCACCGAGCGGTCGAATTTGGTCTTGTACATTTTTATTCTTCCAGACCAAGGAGCTTAGCACAAGGACCGCTAGCTTTTTAAGGTTGCGCCATTCGAAGTCGGAAGGCTCGTCTGCGGCTTCGTCCATGTATGGGCGTGGTGATGGTGATGTAGGGGGGGCGATGTACGGTTCAGTTGCGGCTGCGGTCGTGTCGTACGGTCGCTCCACTGCGACAGGTTGCGGTTGTGACTGGTGCTCAGACTGGTTTTGCTGTTGCTGTTGCTGTTGCTGTTGCTGTTGCTGTTGCTGTTGCTGTTGCTGTTGCTGTTGCTGTTGCTGTTGCTGTTGCTGTTGCTGTTGCTGTTGCTGTTGCTGTTGCTGTTGCTGTTGCTGTTGCTGTTGCTGTTGGTTTTGCTGCTGCATTTGTTGCTCTTGATGTCCCTGATACTGCTGCTGTAATTGCATCTGTCGTCGTTGCTGTTGCATATGCATTTGTTGTTCTTGGTCTTGTGCTTGTTGATGATGCTGAGGAGGAATATCTACTTCCACAGGCGGTGGAGGAGGCGGGGCATGTCCCACATTTCGTAGTGGTGGCGGGGATAGCTGACCCTTCGGAATGGCTGCATCGAGCTCCTTCAACAAAGTGACGAGTTCGTTGGCAATCTCCCAATTGCTCAACATTCGCTTCCATGTCTCATGCTCTGTGAGAATGGCAAAAAACTCGAGATACTGATATACACCTTCGTACATGCGTTCCATATCCCACAAATTCAAAGGAAAGTCTTCAGGCTGGGCATGTCCTGCGCGTATCTGTCCTTGCAGGAAAATGAGTGCGCAAGTCTGTGGGATAATGTGACGGCGAAACTCGGTGAGGAGAAAATTGACCATGTGTACGTCACCCTGGTCTACCTGTGGCGGTGCAGTTTTGAGGTGGCCCTTTGTGGGCTGAGCGCGAGCCTGTCTGGCTCGGAAGATGTTAGTGAGAAGTTTCATGATGACTGCTTGGGCAGGCGAAATGATATCCTTGGACCTGTACCGCGGTTAGTGGAATTAACGCAATTCTACGCAAGACCTACTCCGATTCTCTGAAAGCATGGTAAGCAAACGGTAACAACTGATTTGCAAGAATGGCTTCCATGATTTTGACCATGAATTTGAAATAGAGCTCCTCTTCCCGTAGATCCCATGCAGCAACGAAGATCAATAATTCACGTAACAGGTTGCGGCCGTTGTCCTGAGCGAGTAGAAGATGGCATCGTACACCATGCATGCTCCTGACACTACTGAAGACAGTTGAGTCAGAGTGATAGCCTGGCTGCCCTTCTTGTGGCTCAACAATCCCTGCCATGATGATCATAGGCAAGACCTCAATCTCGGTAGGGCCTAGTATAAGTGGGACGTCGGTAAGTAAGCCTCGTCCCTCATCCCCTGGAATGTCGTCGTACTCGTCATCATTCTCGTCGTCATCCTCTGGTGGAGGGGAGGTCGGAGAGGCTACATCACTGATTAGCCCTGATGGACGGTCGGGGTCTGGCTCCAGACGCTTCAAGAGATCTTCTTTGCCATTTTGGAGTATCTCCGCACCAAAGGACGGCGGATATGTCACACGGAAATCGATCTCACCTGCCGGGGGAGACCGCTTGATGCTGGGATCTAGTAATGGGTCATGCGTTACTGGTCTTGCGGGATGTTTTGTTTCCATGACAGGGGACGCCTGTTGATCGGAGGTCGAGCCCTCTGGAAATACAGCGATCGAGGATCGCATGCGATCTACCTCAATCTGCAGCTGATTGATGCTTTTAGCAAGTGCCTGTACGCTCTCTTCGTTCTTCGCATGCTGATCGACCACCTTTCTGTAGGTGCTTGACTGGGTTATCTGGTCCCGATATCGCGCGACAACGTCAGCGTACAACATATTCCATTTCTACCGCCAAAGTCAATAAAAAGCACATTAGCCAATCACATGAGCAACGGCTTACGTTCTTGTCTTCCTCGCTCATGGTTTGCCACCTGCGCCGGCACTCTGCGGCAATCTCATTGGCTCCCGCTTTGACACCGTGTTGCATCAAAGCCTTCTTAACTTCGTTTCCTGTCTCACCAATGTATAGCAGAAATGGGGACGAAGCAGGTTGTTGCGGGATTTTGAATGTTTCTAGACTGCGAGCTGCATGGCCATGAAGAGGATGTTCTTCTTGTGGAGGACTTTGGTCTTGCTGTGGGAAGTCTTCCATCTTGTACTTCATGTCGGCGAAGTTGGGCAGCTCACTATCCAAATGGCTGTCGAAGAGCTCGATCCACAGCATGAGCTTGCGCTGCTCGTTGCGCGCGATGAGATTGTTGAGAAATTGGAGACAGGATATGAGCAGTTTCTTGTAGGCGTTGATAACACTCTGCCATTTGTCCTCGTCCTGGGTGCCTGCTTCGCCATCATAGCCTCGCGCCGTGACGCGGACACAGACGTTGATGAGGGCGAAGATGTCCTTGTCAAAGAGTCGCTCGGCGCTCAAGTTCTGCACGCGTTCGCCATAGACCTGGACGTTGCGTGCAATGCATACAAGCTGGTTTAGCCGCTCAAGGTCGCGCAGCAGGCTGGGGGAGCAACTGGCTATGAGAGGCCCCGACAAGCCCTCGTACTCGGGGGCGGCGGGGTCTGGTGCAGCAAAGCAGCGGCGCTCCAGCGAAGGGATGGCAGCCTTGAGCACACCGGCGAGATCGTCCCAGAACTCGTACGAGAGACCTAGCTCCTCGCGCAGCTCCACGCTCTTGCGCGACTCCTCGAGCGTCCTCTTGACCACGTCGCGCTCCAGCATGCGCAGGGTATCGTCGCGTATGTAGCCCGGGTTGTGGAAGTGAACCGTGTAGGGGGCGAGGGCGAGTCGCAGGCGGGTCAGATAGGGTCGCGGAGAAGGAGAAGGGGAAGGGGGGGAAGGGGAGGGAGATAGAGAGGGAGAAGGTGAAGGAGAAGAGGAGGAGGAGGAGGAAGAAGAAGAAGAAGAAGAAGAAGAAGAAGAAGCAGCAGAAGCAGCAGAAGCCGAGAAGACGTCTGCACCTTCCTTGACGCCTTTTGCACCTTCATTGAGGCCCTTTGCACCTTGCTGACCTTCCTGATTTTCCTGACCGTCCTCTACGCCAGGGTCGGCCTCATCAAGCGCATCTTCCCTCTCCATATCCTGTCGGGCAAGTGCAGGCCGGTCCCACTGGTTCCACAGCCAGTTCTCGGCAAGCAGCGAGCGGTACACCCATACACGAATCGGCGCAGGCGAGCGTAGGATGCGGAAGACGTTGTTCGAACCTAGCTTCTCCGCGATGCTGTGGTACTGCGCCAGAGCAATCGGGGCAAAGGCAAGCCCGTCGTCTTCGTCTTCGTCTTGGTCTGCGTCTTCGGCTTTTATGTTGTCGTTATCGTTGTCTCTATTATGGTGATTATTATTGTTGCTGTTGCTGTTGCTGTTGCTGTTGCTGTTGCTCTTGTCGTCGTCGTCGCCTTCGCTATCGTCGCTGTCCTCTTCGTCTTCTTGTGCTTCTTTATCCTCAAAGTCAATGTCGACAATGTCGTGCGTCGCGGGATGGACCGGCAGCGACCGGTATTGGACGGCTGACGCAGGTGAGTTCGAGTTGGTTTGTGAGCGTGTCGTCTCAGATGTGGTTGTCGACATGTTTTTTTTTGCGCCTCAGGCTGCCTGCCAACTTTTGGGGGCTCCTCCCGCCTTACGTTGACGCTCGGACGTGGGTGCGGGGCCAATGACCGTTGCCTCTCCTTCTCTGCCCCTCCCCCACCACATCACATGTGCGTCCATGTTCGACCACTTACTCTAGTCTTACTACTCTTACAAAGTCTTTATGTTATTAAATCATGTCACCCTTTTCATTAGAAAAACACAACACATGTCCCACTCACAGCTGTTATCTTCAGCTACTACAAACTAAACATGTAGAGGGCATAAACAATCGTGCCAGGTACACTGCCAGACCAGCCACGTCAGAGAGCCCCAAATTTCTTCTAGGAATCATTGTAATGTGAGCAGTATACACGAGTATAGTATCTCTCACGGGCATGAAATGTTCCATTCGCCTCCACTTCATCTCCATGCTCACAAGCAACAAAGCCAGGCATAACCAAGGAAGCCTCAACGATCACACGAGAATCCAATCTGCAATAAACTGTTTTGACAGGCCTCAACGTGTTTGACACATTACATACCTTCAGCCTTCAATCGAGCCGTCATGAACCGGCTTACTTTCTTCGTCTTTCCATCTCGCTCCTTTACAATTGGCCTTTCTTCGTCCTCTTCCGTGGCCTTGAATCCTCCTTGTTGCTGAATAAACCTGTTTCGCATCTTGTGATACTCGGTTTGCACTTCCCGCTGGATGAGTACTCGATCGAATTCTTCAGGGGCCCGGGGTTCGGCAGGCCCTGGAAGGTGCTCGGTGATCGTGCTGGCCAGCGTTCGGCCAGCTGGACCTGTCGGTATGGCTGGAGTCTGCACGACAGCTGGCATTGGCAGTATCTTTGGTGGTGCGTTCAATCCAGCTCGTGCGCTTTTGAACCGGGATACCTTGGCCGGCTTCGGTCGTTGAGCTGCGGATTCACTCTGTGATAAGGGCCGTTCTACAATAGTATCTGATATTGTAGGCCTGGCTGTCTCTTCTTCTATGACTGATTTAGGGGTTGGTTGTAGAGCGTCGGAAATATCCAGGCTTGCAGCGAAGCGGACACCCTTCTTTCTCTTTGGCGACTCGCCGGTAGCTGCTTGCGTAGCCCCAGACTCTGCTACGCTCAGGGATTGATCAAATTCATCATCTTTGCGCACGCGCATGGTGCGAAAGTCACTGGTATGTTCCGCGAGTGGCTGGTTTTCTGGCGTAGGCCCAACGTTCTCCAACATGCGTGCACTCAGCTTCTTTTCAAGTTCCAACATTTGCCTTCTGTACTCTTCTGTAACGACAGGTTTGGTTGTGCGGCCGTACTCGTCCTCTTCCTCGTCATCGTCAGTTTCCGTGCCGTAGTCATTAAAATCAGAATCTTCATCAAAGTCATCTTCTGGATAGGAAGCGGTGGGACGATCGAGATCCAGCTCAGCGACGACCTTGCCTACTTCAGAAAGCCCATACTGCAACATTTGCCTTCGCAATTCAGCATCCTCGGGGGATTCCCCTTGTGGAATGACTGGGTAAGAGGCCACCATGTCATCGTTATCATCAAGCTGGATGACCTTTGTGCCACTGTTGAAGTTGAGGGTATCAAGGTCTTCGTCGTAACCGTTCTGTTGGAGGGCTTCCTTCGCATTGGACAGCTTGGTTCTTTTCGGCTCTCCTCCAGCGAACGATACTCTCTTCGATGGTGAATCTGACCTCGATGTCGTGGACCCAGAGTGAACTGATGTTGAGTTGGGCGGCTCTTTGATTGATGACAAATTGTTCCGTGCCTCAGAGCTTCTAAAGGGTTCTTCTTTTTCAGATACTGAGGGCAGCTTTTCTAGCTCGGCTTTCTTCAAGCCCGCCTTCCTCAACGCTTCGACAACCTCTGCAGCACCCTTCCCTGTCTGGTTGATCGAGCTCGAAACTTCGTTGCCAGCATCGTCCAACTCTTCTTCAATGTCCATCATTGGTAAGCCTTCCTCGTTGTGCATCCCAGGCTCCAGTAATATATCAACTCCTGCGAGCTGTTTCTCGGCAGAGTCAAGTTGCTTCTCTATGGTAGCGCTGTTCTGCTGGACATAGTCAATGCGCCTAGATATAACATCAATGACTTGATTAGCACTGCGTTTGGTCTTTGAATCCTTGCCCAGTAGCTCCTCGAACTCCTTCTCGTTGAGCAGGAACCCGCCCAAGTTACGGGCGATGTCGCGCATCTGTTTAGGTGAAGGATCGTGGGCATGCTGCAACTCCGCTTTAAGAGCCCTATACTCGGCCTCCCAGGTTGTCCACTGACTCAACGCCCTTTGGAGCTTGTCGACATTTGCCTGAAGCTCGATTCGCCGACGTTCGATACCCTCAAGCACATTCTGTGTTGAGGCAGCCATTTCTGGGAGAAAGCTTCGTGTGAAGATAGAGGGTATGGAGAGGATTCGAATATTCTCTGCGGCGAGCCTGGGAGGTGGTAGGTTCTTGGCAGCCCCACTTGTGGGTAGCGCGAAATGCTCATGATAATCCAACCCAATGAGCTCCAGGATTATCCATTATGGTCCCCAGCTGCCTCACAGGTGAAGGAGAAGGCATCAGTAAGCCGTCGTCTTACTTTGTACTCGGTTACGCTGGTTATTTGAAGACTATACAGTTTAAACATGTAATTGCGAAATCGTGTCATTGTTCCTCCGAGGCCTGAGACATTCGCTGATTAGTCAGCGTCCGCCTCTCATCAACCTTCACGTCGACCTTTAACACATGCACGCGCCACTCCCGCCATGTCAAAGCAATCTGCGCGCGCAAATGGCTCTGCCACGAAACGGGCGACTGAAGATGGCGGTGCGTTCCATCTTTCAAATTCTCTTTACAGCTTGTCTCTACAACACTCGTTGCATTCCGATTCCATCGCTGACTGGTCTTCAGACATTTGTCCTGTTTGCAAATCGTCGCGTTACCTCAATCCCAATATGAAATTTAAAGTCAACCCAGAATGCTACCACAAGATGTGCGAGTCGTGTGTCGACCGCATCTTCGGGCATGGACCTGCGCCATGTCCTATAGCAGGATGCGCGCGAACTTTGAGAAAGATTAAATTTAGGGAGCAGACTTTTGCCGACTTAGAAATTGAGCGTGAAGTCGATATACGGCATAGGGTTATGCGTGCGTACGTTGGCGACGGGCCCCTACATCACACCCCTGGCTGATGAATGACAGCTTCGACAAAACAGAAGGAGACTTTGAGTCACTACGTGACTACAACGACTACCTTGAAAAGGTCGAAGAGATCAACTGGAACTTGATCCTCGGAATCGATGTCGAAGCGACCGAAAGCCGACTCCGACGGTGGGAGGAGCATCAGAAAGCCGAGCTGAATCCCAACGCCACGTCGCGGCGTGAGCCGGATCATACAAGGGGTAATGCACAGCGGAGGGGACCTAATATTGCCTCAAATCCCGGAGAGTCGACTCGGACTACCAAGGCGGAGGATACGGGCTTTCATTTTCATGGGCTGAAGAAACGTGTCGCGCCACCGAAAGAGCCGCCATTCGACCCTTCTGGTGGCTGGATCATGGCTCCACAGTACTTCTCGCTACAGGAAAGCTACGATGTGAGCTGGTACGCACAATATACGGATACGTATCACTTGGCGGGAGGCTATGCCGTTCGAGATTTCTGCCAACGCACTCTCCTGGAAGCATTCGGGGGTCTCGGTGTCTTCATAGAGGACGAGATGGAAGCAAGAGCGGTGCCAGCTGAGAATGCTTCTGTGGGCACGAAACAGGCGGCTTTGGCTGCAGGAACCGCCAAAGACGTGTACATGGACGACGTCTTTTAAGTTCTCTTGACCTCGATACCCGACATCGCATGCATGTCAGCATTGGGCGGCGTTCATTCAAAAAAAGGCGTCGTTGTCATGCAACCGTAGCCAAATACAGAGTAGTCATACACACATATATATATACATACTAACAATATGCAATAAACAGTATCTATATCCGCTCATCTAGACTCCTCCGTCCTATCTGTCCTGCCGATCCTACATATGCGAGACTGTCGTCATAGGCAAACTGCTCTTCAGGTAGTGAATACCGATGCCCATTGCGTTCCTGGCTGTTTTGTTGTCGCTGTATGCCCGGGGCGCCTGCTATACCATGCCTGCCAGGATGTTCAGGTCCCTGGTCGTCTATCTTGCCGACGCTGCCAAGCGCATCTAACTGCTGAAATCTGCCTCTTTCCGTAGCGCTGCGTTGCACCCTCACGTCTAGCACCAACGCAAGCAATGTTGACAGCAGCCCAAATAATGTGAAACTGAACAACGCTTTGTATAGTCGGCATACAGCTATGCCCATGTCAGACTCCCAGTTCTCAACGTTGCAAACGTGCGCCAGTGTACCAGAGGACCACCACGCAAGCAGAGCGAAAGCCAGAGCCCAAAGGATCGCGAGCAACGAGTTTAGGGCGATGTTCAGCACGGGATTGAGGCCGTAGAAACAGTGCATGGCTATTGTGGCTACAAGGGCGATGATTGTCAGGAGGGAAACGGAGAACAGCTGGGTTGTGTTAGGACACCACGCCATGGTTGCACGCTGGACCTGTTGAGGGGGAAGCTCACCAGCAAAAAGGTCCACGGTAGCTGGTACTCGTCGCGCGCGAGTTCAGAGCAAAAGTAGAGCATGATGCTTGCGACTACCGCTGACGACACGAGTTGTGCACAACGAATGCCATGGAATGCTATTGTGGGGTATTGCGCGGGTTTCACGCGGCCTTTGCGCAATGCCATGTTCGAGGTAGGTCCTGGTACATGTGGGAAAAAGGAGGGAAAAGAGGGGGAGGAGGAGAAATCGTAGGGACGTGACGAAGACCCAAAAGGGGTGAGAGGAGGGGGCGAGACAAGATGTGGAATGCTGGCAGGTGATGGTGTCTCAGTGCAAGAACTGGCTGATTTCCAGGTACCGGCACCGGTAACGTGCGTGACACGGACATTGTCAGCGTCAAGTCACGATACGATACAAATTGGTACTAGGATAGGTACCCAAAGCCACTGGTATAATTATAGTTAGGACCCAATGCAAGATCTGTTTTGGCCAGTGTTCCTACCTCTCTCAACCATCTTGAGCCTTATTATGTACTCTAGGTAGCTACTGTACTAGAGTTTGCACTTGAACCTACCGATACTATACCTTGCACCGATTCTTGAGTAGCCTTAAGCCTACTCTAGGTAACTAACGCTACCAAGTACCTGTACACTAGCCAATCAAACCTCACCCAAGCCCCCCGCTCCTCAGACCTATTCAGGCCCAACATAAAAGCCATCACGGCATGGCCAATTCGCCGTGGCACGTGGGAAGAATGAAAGCCGGCCACTTGCCATGTAGACAAAGAGATCGATATCTCATCAAGGCAACTGGCAAGCACAAAACTACGTTTTTTCGTTGAACCGACTGCGTGGATACCGGTACCGGTAGGTACTCAAGTCAGAGCCGATAGATCTTCGACGCCACCGACCCAGCGCACTACCGGTACGCACTCGTAAAGTTGGCTGTCACAGCTCGGCAATTGCCACTGTGAATCTTCAACAAAATAATGGCCTTCTCTCTGGCAAAGCCATGGAACGAAGGCGAGGCGTCCATGCAGCGACTCCTTCGCGTACCCGCAATGGACAATCCCACGTCCACCTCGCTCACACCTCAGGCCTCGTTGATGCTACAGCGCGGACCACTTCTCGCCATTGGTACTCTGGACAGGCAGTTGCGTCCCTGGACTACACTCTGGGGAGGTTCGGCCGGCATTTCCACTCCCCTTGGTGGCAACATGGTTGGCACACGTACCGTGGTCGACCGCGAAAACGACCCAGTAGTACAGGCTCTCGTTGGTGATGCAAAAAAGGGTGAAATGGTTCAGACTCAAGGCGAAGGAGTATTGATCTCTGCGCTCGCATTCGACCTAATGACGAGGAGGAGAGTGAAGCTTGCTGGAACCATGGTTGCTGGCACAGTGACGGAAGTTCATGTAGAGGTTGGAGAAGCTACTGCGCAGAAGCAAAATCAAATACAACTGGTGACGGAAATCAACGAGAGCCTTGGAAATTGCCCCAAGTACCTGAACCAATACGATATCCGCCCGGCCGTAGTGACATCAGAAGTCAAACACATGGGGCCCGCATTATCAAACGAAGGTCGAGCTCTGATCTCCGGGGCTGACATGTTCTTCCTGTCCACAAGTACGCCAGAAGATATGGACACAAACCACCGAGGAGGATTGCCGGGCTTTGTTCGTGTGATTTCTTCCACTCAGATTGTCTATCCAGAGTATTCGGGCAATCGTCTCTATCAGTCTCTAGGAAATCTGAAGATCAACCCTAGGATTGGCATCACATTCCCAGATTTCGAGACAGGTGATGTTCTGTACATGACTGGTACTGCTGAAGTGCTAGATGGTTCAGCGGCGGCCAGTATACTTCCAGGGAGCAACTTGGCCGTGAGAATTACCTGCACCGAGACGCGTTTTGTGGCCAGTGGACTTGCTCTTCGGGGTACGAGGAAGACTCCTAGTCCATATAACCCTCTCGTGCGGACCCTTGTTACTGAGGGCAATATCAAAGCGAATCTCGCCCGGGGCGGGAACAGCCGCCGAAATGCGCAGCTCACAAGAAAAGAGGTCATCACACCCTCGATTATGCGCTTCACCTTTTCGGTGGCGGGTGGAATCAAATATGCGCCCGGCCAGTGGATTGCAATGGACTTCAAAGAAGAATTGGACATTGGCTACGAACACATGTGCGACGATGAGCCAACCAGTATCAACGATGACTTTATTCGCACATTCACCATATCCTCGGCACCGCAAGCAAGGGGCGGGCTGGATGATCAATTTCAAATTACCATCCGCACAGTCGGGCCTGCTACGAGACTTTTATTTCGACAAAACGACCGTGCTGGTTTTGAGGTGCCTATCCTGGGCGTTGGTGGAGACTTCAAGATTGCGCAGAAGGAGCAGGGCGTCACCCCTTTTATTGCTGGAGGTAGGGAAATATTTCAACACCTTTCTCAAAGAATAGCTCATAAACTGACTTGATCTTCTAGGAGTCGGGATTACGCCACTGCTCGGGCAACTGGGAAGCCTTGTTATCTCGCCTGAACGATTGAAGCTGATTTGGACAATCAGACGAGCTGACGCTGCCTTTGTACTTGATGTGCTACACCACCGGCCAGAGCTTGCGAGATGCACAGATGTGTACCTGACTGGAGCTGAGCCTTTGGCAGAAGAGTCTAGGTATCTCACTGATCTGGAAGGGTTGGGGGTGGGTATTGCGAAGAGAAGGCTGGCTAAGAGTGACGTGGATGCAGTCGAGGCGGGGACGTGGTACCTGTGTGCGGGAAAGCTCCTGAGGAGGTATATGCTATCTTGTTTGGAAGGAAAAACTGTGCTTTTTGAGAGCTTTGATTATTGAAATGCCATAGGTACCGGTACGGCACAGCGCTATAGCCGCGGCGACTGCTCCTTTAGACGGAAAAGGCAGCAATTTCCGAAGCCCAAGCCCAACTCGATGACCAAGTCCAGTACTGTGAATAGGAGCAGTAGCCAGTGTCTGTACTCGGGGTATTGTACCTATGGGCTAGCATGGTATGTGCGGTTTACTTGTGCAAGTAACGTGATCCACCACCGAGCGCCCACCCCCACCGAGCGCCCACCAACACCAAAATCCACCACCCACTAAATAAGGATATTGCGCCACCCACAATAGCTATTATCACAAGATTTCTTAGAGTTGCAATTATTAGATCTATTAGAGTAGATTAAATATTTTAGATTATATAAGCAGCTTTTTAGGGGGTCTAATTAGGCGCCTATGCTATAAAGTTGCCTCTACTACTATATCCTCTTCTACTAGCTCCTTATTAACTACCTTAGCTAGTATAATAGTAGGAGGCTTAAGGATTTACCTCTTACCTATTTAGGATATTTTAATATTATTTTAGAGTTACTTTTCTAGTTACTTAGTAGTTTTTTACTTATTACGTATAGTAGCTTTTTAAGTAGCTTTCTCCTCTTACTCCTTCTTAGTAATTACTTAATTTAAAGTAATACTCCTCTATAAGTTAAGCTTTAGTAAGCTTCTATTACTTATAAAGCTTAATTACCTTACTTTTTTAGTGTTATAGCTCCTATTCTTTAAGGTTCTTTTACTTCTAGAGCTTAAATACTTACTCTACCTTTAATAGTAAAATAAATTAGGCACTACTACTATAATTATTATTAAGGGGTAATAATAGAGGTTTACTATACTTCCTATACTTCTTCTTATTAGCTAGGGTAGCCCTTAGGTATTTATTTTTATAGTTAAGTAGAGTATTTCTTACTAATATAGTATAGATTATCTAGCTAAGCTTCTTTAACTATTTATTATAAATATTAATTATAGTATTATAGAGTAACTACTTTATCTTTCTCTAATTATTTATACTTAATATTAAGGTTATACTATTACTTAAAGAAGGCTAGTTACTATTATTTATAGGTGCTTTAAACTTTAAAAGGATAATATTAGGGTTAAGTAATAAGATACCTATTACTTTAAAAGCTATTAATATTAGCTTTTTCTTAAAGGTATTACTTTATATAGTATTAAATAACTAGTAGAAATCCCTCTTAGTAATACTTGTAAGCCCTTAGGAGCTATCTAGAAAACTAGATAGTTAAGCTTTATATAAAGCTATAAAGGGAGCAAATACTATAATATTAAGTAGCTAAAGGGTATAAGTACTATAAGGGGGATATATTATAAGTAGGATCTTATATTTATTATAGTACTTAATAAACTCTATTATTATATAAGATCTATAGCTATTAAAGATAAGGAGCCTAGTATAAAGTATAAGCTTTAGCTTTTATCTTATAATTAAACACCTCCTTAAGCTAGGATACCCCTAGGGTGTAGCTTATCTACCTACTTAGTAATCCTATAAAGAAAGCTTAGTATTATAATAGGTTAAAATCTTATAACTAGGTATCTTATAAAGCTCTAGATTAGGACTAATAAATAAGGGTAGGGGTAAAAGTAGTACTATTAGCGTATATACAAGCTATAGTAGTAATCTACTCCCTATTACTATCCTAAAGTATAGCTCTAATCTTTCTCTACTTATAGGCACTCTTATTAAATATATATTTAGTTTTTAATAGTACTCTAATAAGAAAACCCTTCTTATCTATATTATAGATATACTAACTCTTAATATTATATTACTCTATTTTTTAGTATAAAAGCTTAAAGTATAAGCTATACTTAAAGGTAGAATTAGCTTTAAAGAAGTTATAATTAAGCCTAGTAGCCTAATAGGAGATAAGATTAATATTATAGTAGTTAATAAAGCGCTATACCTAATTTTTACCTACTAGATTCCCTATTATTTTAGTTATAAAATTTTAAATAATAGTTTATATAGGGGGTAATCCTTACTTATAAAGCTCTTTAATATACTTTATAAGCTTACTTTCTTATATAGTATTAAGTATTTAACTATTTAGTAGAGTAGTAGTATATACTTACTAAATTTTCTAGTAGTATCTAGATAAGGTTAACTATAAGTAACTATACTTTTCTACTATTTCTAAGTATATAAAATCTTCTCTAAGAGTTAAGGATTTAATTACTATAAGCGCGTTATTAATAGGTGCTATAGTTATTAAGAAATTTGGTGTTAAAAATTTGGTGATTTTGGTGTTGGTGGGCGCTCGGTGGGGGTGGGCGCTCGGTGGTGGATCACGTTAGGTAGGCCGGCCACACGCGCCCACCGTACGGTCCACCTAACTTCACCTGACCCAGAGTCCGACCCGAGCAGGGAGTCGTTTATTTTTGGTACAGGAGTGCAGCATGCATGTACCGGTCCCCATGTATTCCCAAGTACCAAGTACATACTACGGACTATGTAACAGATGGGTACTTATGGAGGTATGTACATGCCGTTGGCGCGATGGCATGTGGGTATTCCATGTGGAGGCAGCCCTGTGGGTACGATAATATGTGCCCCGAATCGCGATTCGTCAGGGCGGGCGGGCCTGGAGAGAACACCATACTCTACCTAGGTAAGCTTTCTCGACCCTGCCGCGTGCTCTTACATGATTCCCATCACCCACCATCACGCTCCTTCTGTAGACTCCACCCATCATCGCCCATCCCATCCACTCCAACCCAGTCCTGCGACTCTCTTTTTCGAGCTCTTTTCGCAGAGATATCCCCGCCTGTTCTTTGGCACTTGTGATTCGCTTGCAAGGGACTAGCTAGTTGTCACTATGCCCGGAGTTCGTAAGTACTCACTCACTCCTCTGCCCATGCATGCAATACGAACACCATGGTTGTCCATTCTTCTCTCTTTCTTTCGTTACGACTACTACCTGTAATGCGGTCAAACGGGTTTAATAACAATACTCTCCTATGGCGATGCTATCTGTTCCGCCCACCCTCAACCACACACCCCCAACACCGCAAATTAGAGACGAGCAATCATCTGACCCTTTTCTACCACAGCGCTCGACGCCATGGACCAGGTCAAAAAGGCCTTCAAGAGCCTCTTCAAGAAGAAGCCCAAGAAGGAGTCAGCCACGCCAACGGTTCCTGCTGACGGCGCGTCCTCTGCTCAAGCAAAGCCCAGCGAGACCACGCCTGCCGCACCCGCACCCGCCACGGCACCGGCCCCTGAAGCTGCGAAGAGCGAGACCACGCCTGCAACCACAGCCGCTGCTGCCTCCGTTTCGGCCGTGGACTCGGCCCAGCCTGTGCAGCTAGCTGCTGTCCCTGTCGCGACTGAGCCCAAGCAGGACGAGGCTGCTGCGACCTCGACTGAGGTCAAGAATGCTACTCACAGTAGGTCCATGTCTCGTTCAACCCTCCATCGCGCCCCAATACTAGGACGGGCTTGGAAAGTTGACGGCTGGGATGGCAACCACCCGACGCTAGGAGCTCGTCATGGATTGACAATGCCCACATCTACTCTGATACCCATGAACTGACGAATTTGCTCCTTTTCTTGTAGCTCCTGAACCTGCCGGCGCTGTCGTTCCCCCGCCACCCACGGCCGTCGCAGCTCAGACTCCCGCAGATGATGCGCCCGTTGATACTCCTATCAAGGCCACCGAGGCCACCGAGGCCTCGGCTCCAGCTCCAGCTCCTGCGCCGACCGAGTCTACACCTGCTGCCCCTGTAGATTTGCCAGCCGTCCCCACCAGCAAGCCAGCTGCTGGCATGAGTGCTACAAGCGGACCCATGTTTGATGAACCCAACTTCGGCTCAGAGGGCAAGGGAGAGCAACCCGTGGCCACAGCTACGCCCACACAGGATTCTGCAGCTCCTGCTTCTTCTGCCACTCCTGCAGCTCCTGCAGCTCCTGCGTCCTCGGCGACCACGACTGTCCCTGCTGCGCAGTCAGATCCTGCAGAGAAATAGACATGCTTTGGCGGCATCTCGAGCTCAATCTCGCTGATGTGTGAGCTTCCTGTTGTGAGACCCTTATGGCTAGGCAGTGTCAGGTTGGAGCTGGCTTAAAATGAAATAAAAACAAACGTTTGGATACTAGCATTCGAGGATGAAAATAGTTCCAACAGGTAGGAGATGGAGGGAGGAGTGCATGTCCATTTTTCTTCGGTTTTACTAATACTATACCCCTTTGCTGTATCTGTCGCGGGACATGTCATCGAGCAATCAAGTCATTCTAGTCGGGAGAAGATGACAATTCATCAACGTTCCTCGCGTGCCATGCCCTCTCCTAGACCTAGTGATGTTTGTCGCGTCTGCCCAGAAGTCTGCTCATGATCCTAGATGCACTATACGTACATGGGAGCGAGTACAAGTACTAGCAATACTGTGGCACCGGTACAGTTTGTTGCGTTGCTTTCATGTGGCATGTGGCTTGTGGATAGCCACAGCCACTGTTTTGATTTACTTGTGGGGGGACTCTAGACGGCTCTAGTGCGGGCTGGGGCGGCGGTCACATGATGACCCCACCACGCCGTCATCGACTACCTCAAACGACTGAGTGGTGAGTAGATTTTTGCAAGGCAGAAAGGTCAAGGTAGCTTGGTACTGCAAAGGGTAGAAGGTAGAGTCCCTTGAATTGGCGCTTTTTGGTTCGAGACGCGTGTTTCTTTTTCTTTTTTGATATTCTGATATTGAGTAACTTAACTCTATACTTTTGCAATATTGTTTTTGTGTACAACTTCGTGTCCGCCGCCCACCTGAACACCAACCAAACCTTCCCCCCACCACTGACGCACGAAACGTTCCACGAAACCAACGTCCATTTCTCCTCATTCACCCTTTCTCGACTTCTTGCCCCACCATGCCACCCAAGAGTGGCTTCTCGCGCACGCGCAACATTGCCTATGAGGACGACGATGACGATGACATCTACGATGACTACGACTACGATAATGAGGGCGACGAGGAAGGCGACGCCGCGACCGAGCACGACAAGGAGCAAATGCGCATGGCTACTATCCGTGTACGAGAAGCTCTGCCAGATGTGAGCGACTTCATCAGCGACGAACAGGTCCAGGAAGCGCTGTGGCACTACTATTACGACGTTGGGAAGAGTGTGACCTACCTGAAGAACCGCATCGGCGCCGGTGCAGCTTCAGAGACGAGGCAGGAACCGTCCAAGAAACCAAAGCAAGCCTCGCGTTTTGACCAGGCTGCAAGTGCTGCACATCAAAATGCACCTCCTACTACAGGTAAGCTCACTTATGCACTCTGTTAGCTTCCTGGAAGAGTCTCCTCACCCACCGTCACCTACCGCTGCCCTCTACTTGCCATGCCTGCCAACACGATCGGTATAGACGATTTTTTCTGGGACGTACCGTGGGGCCGGGTGCCTTCTCACCGACTGAGTGTCATGACCGCCGAGGCTCCCCACTGCAAACCTGGTTTACTCGGCGGCTCGTCCAAATTGGCTGCTCTTGCTGCAAAACGAAGAAAGGAAAGAGAAGAAGCCGAGGCAGCCGCTTCCAAGTGCAACAGCGAGTCTGAAGCGGCCCTGGCTATGCTTGACAAACTCACGGTGAGGAGCAAAGTGGGCGTGGCAACATCCTTCCACGATTGTTCGACTCAGGCCGCGAGACCTTCTCGTATATCCAAATATCCAATCCGACGACGTTCGTCTTCCCCACAGCCGGTAATTCCTGAAGAGGAGACCTCGATGGAAGTTGATGCTCCACAACAAGCCATCACCACCGATACCCCCGCCCAACGTGCATCAGCTTCGATATTTGCTACCACCTTGTTTGGCCCCTGCCAAGAGAAGACTGCACCAGAAGCACAGCTTCAAGCCTTCCGGGCGCCTTATTCCCGTTACAGGGAGTACGATAGCTCCAAACCTTTTGCTGAGCCAAGCCCGGATGACATCGTGAGGGCAGCACAGGCCAAGGGTGCGGGTGGCGGGCGATACTGACTTTTGCTATCAGACTTTGTGAAGTATCATTTCTAAATCAAGCAGGTACCACCCCCAAGGAGAAGAAGAAAAGAAAAAAGAAACCACATACTGGCGAAATCTCCGAGTCTGTTGAGAAGCTTGTATTGGACGAATCAAAAGTCAAGAGTCAGAACCTCGACGTGGTGGCAGAATTTGAGAAGAGCGATTTGAAGCGGATAGCGAACTTCGTCGTCATAGGTATGTTAGACATGCTTTCAAGCTCAACCAAACCACCTGCCCCCCTGTTGGCTGCCATGACCGACGGAACAGGGACAGTATGGCCCAGCAAGTCATCCTGAGATATGAGCTAACGTTCAACCAGGCCACGTCGACCATGGCAAAAGCACACTCATGGGCCGCTTGCTTTTTGATCTCAAGGTGGTCGATCAGCGATCAATAGATAAACTTCGAAAAGAAGCCGAGTCCATTGGCAAATCATCATTCGCTCTTGCATGGATCATGGACGAGACTAGCGAAGAACGAAGTCGTGGTGTCACTGTAGATGTCGCCACAAATTATTTCGAAACGGAGAAGTCATGGTTTACTATTCTGGACGCACCGGGTCACAAGGACTTTATTCCCAGCATGATATCCGGAGCTTCCCAGGCTGACTTCCCCATCCTTGTCATCGACGCAAGCACGAACAGCTTCGAATCGGGCCTGAAAGGGCAGACCAAAGAGCACATTTTAATTGCACGAAGTATGGGCATGCAGCACATTATTGTTGCAGTAAACAAAATGGACACAGTCTTGTGGTCAAAAACACGATTTGATCACATTGTTAAGAGTCTGACAGCCTTCCTGACTGAAGCCAGTTTCTCAGAGAAGCGTATAACGTTTATCCCCTTGGCTGGTCTCACCGGTGAGAATGTCACCAAGAAAATTGAGAATTCGGCGGCGCATTGGTATGCCGGTAAAACGCTTCTCGAGGCCGTGGAAAGCATAGATCTCCCGGATCGAAACATGAAAAAGCCTCTCCGACTCTCAGTCGCTGATGTCTTCAAAGGTGACATGCGCTCGCCACTCAGTCTTTCTGGGCGCATAGAATCAGGTACTCTGCAAGTCGGAGATGTCATCTTGGCACTACCCTCTAACCAGACTGCCACGGTCAAGGCCATTGAAGTCCGCGATTCACCGGCAGATTGGGCCGTCGCAGGACAAATACCAACACTTCATTTGACCGACATCGACCCCATCCACCTGCGACAAGGTGATATGGTATGTGCGCCTCAAGCTCCCGTCAAAATCGTCAAAGCCTTTACGTCGAAACTCCTTGCTTTTGAGCATGTCCTGCCCATGCCTGTGGAAGTGTTTCGGAGCACATTGAATTCCCCTGGCAGTGTGAGGACTCTAAGCGCAAAGCTGAACAAGTTCACTGGCGAGGTTGTCAAGAAGAAGCCCAGAATCATCAAGCCGGGTGAGGTGGCGAGGGTGGTGGTCGAGCTGGAGAGAGAACTGCCGATTGAAGAGGGAATGAGAGTGGTAATTAGGGAGAGAGGTAGAACGGTGGGAGCAGGACTGATGGAGAATGTAGCTTAGAGGGTCAAGGTATCACAGAACTACGTTTAATTTGCTCCTGGCTGTGCCGCTCCAAAGGAGAGGCTGTCACGGAGACAATGTAGTTTTAATTCCCTTATTAACGGAAGAGCAAACGATGCTTCCGCTAGTTGACACCAGAACTTCGTTGTCACCTTTCTATACATACGTGTTGTGTGTGCGATGCGCTACTTTTCCCAGGGTGCCCGCGTGCTCGACTCTGGGTCCGATGGAGCACTTGCTGTTGCTGCAGCTTGACTCTTTGCCCACGGTTTCTCTGTGCGTGCTCCCGGCCCGGGCGGACCACGCAGATTCGAAGCCCAGGGAACCCTCATAGGTTGATCAAGACTGTTTGCTGGAGTCGGTACTGATCCACTCGACGTCCAAGGCGCTCTGGTAGTCCGATCATTAGCCTCTGGGGCCAATGTATCTGGCATGGCCCTTGGACTGAGAGGAGCCGTCATCGATTGACCACCCTTGGGATCCCGCAATCCCTGCTGGGCTCTTAAGGTCCAAACTGTAGGTCGATCCGCTGAAGGATTCCGAAGAGCAGGTTGTGGGCGAGAGGCTTGTGCGGTCGACGAAGGTGTCATTGCTTTCGGCTGGTTCGATGTATGCACACTGGCCTGGATAGCTTTCGCGTTCGGGTCCTGTTCCCACGCGAACAACGAACCAAAAGGGAAATGCTGGATTACGGGAAATTTTGATAGAACTTCCACATTGTACATTTTGATCATACCTTTGTTGATCTTGGCCCAACCTGCCTTGACGCCAGAGATGTCGAACAGGATTGGACTGTGCTCCCAAAACGGGCCTTTCTTGACATCGTAGATGAAGCCAATGGCGCTGAAGTACATATTGTTCCGCCTTTCTCGTTGCACGGTTGCGGCTTTGGCAACATCTGATGGGTTGGGGGCACAGGGCAACGAGCCCTCTGTTACTACGTCGGCCGGCGTGGTGATTGCTGGAGAGTATTGTGCACTGCCAAAAATGTAGGGGAGGAACGAGTGATCATCCAGACCCCAAACGCCATGTGAGCCTGCGGGCTCGAGCGTATATGTGAGGATTAGACGTCGAATGAGCGCAAGATAAGGTTCGATGATTCTCAACACTATGCCACGCTCTTGATCACCGTCGTGCGAACGCGGGAACGCACCGAGTTTCCACAGGCAGCCTAGAAATGCAAGGAAACTCAGCTCGTGACCTGTGCCGTAGTCAAGACGCTGCGGACTACCAAAAGCGCCAATTAGATAGGCCTCGAGTTCGCCTTTGGCCGTCACATCAGAGGTGGACTTGTAGGCCAGCACATGAGCCGGTAGGTATTGTTCAAGTAGTTCAGGGATACGCCCAAACATGATGTCGCACCATCTTCTGAAGCTTGCGTTGCCAAACCGGCGGGGCCCAGTATCTGGTGGCGCCTCGTCGATTATGGCAGTCAGGGTGTTGAGAAGCTTGGCAAGATTCTCGGTCACAGGTGGGTGTGGGACATTTGGGTCGTCGAGCCTCCACACCTTGGCCGTCTCTGCATCGCCATCTGACTCAGAGACTCTGCGCGGTATCATAGATGTGTTGAGCTGGAAGATGAAGATCATGATATCTGCGTAGGCTCTGCTGGCCAGGAAGAATGAGACGTCGTCGCCATGGTGGATACGTTTTGACGGTATCGCAAAGGCATGGCCCATGGATTGGTCGAGCACTTGGAGTGTTGGCGCTATTATAGGTGTTTCTTTCGCCATGGTGAAATAATGTAGGAATGGGTGGGTGACTGGCGCGGACGTGGCCAAGGTGGAGGTGCAGGCTACCAGAGGTTCACGAGTGTATCATGTGACCACGCGTTTCAGCCTTAGCCTTCCACACCGTACCACATGCACATGCATGTTGTGGTTGGCGTTGTGACGGGCGTGATCTACGCAACGGTAGATACTTTGACGTTTTACAACCCTCCATCGTTTGCATGTGACGCCGTGCCCCAAGTACAAATGTAGGTAGTCATGGCACGCCTCAAGAAAGCCGCGAAGACAGTGGTTCGTGCAAAAGACCATGGGACTGGCACTGGCACCCGTACCGGTAAGTAGGCGTTGTTGCATCACGCGCCTCAATGCCGCGCCCCGTGATATACGTATACAGTACGCAAAGCCAAGCATGAAGGCTGATCAAAGCAATGCAGCAGTCTCGTCCCACTCGTCGGCTGAAGCTGGAGCAATGTCCAAGCCAGTGCCTTCTGCGGCGGCCTTTGGGGCCAGCCTGCTCAACCATGCGCGCTCCGGGCAGAGTCACCCCAACCCAGCAGGCGTGACAGCGAAACCTGATCATGGCAAGCTCAAGCGACCGAGCTTCATCGCCGAGGCGAGTCAAAGAGAGCCAGCAAACCGAGGAGACGTCTATGCAATCCAACACAGCCCAGAGAAGCAAGCCCTTCATGTCCAGGACAAGGCCGACCACGACCAAAAGGCTCAACCCTACCATTCTTCTCCTGCTGACGCTCAGTTTGAAGCTACAGCTAAAATACCGCCTTCCTCATCGCCTGCGATCGTTGCAACAGGTCAAAGTCGCGTCATTCGCCAATCAACAAAACAGGGGAAAATGCAACTACAACCGACTACGAAGCCTCGGGCGACCAACAATTCCGTTGCAGCTGTAGAGCGTTCTCCAAAGATCAAGGTACATGATACCTGCGAAAGTAGAGCAGTCAACGCATACCCAGTCAGAAGAAGCGAACCTCAGGTACGGATCCCCCTCAGGAAGCGTAGGGTGCCTGAGACCATAGAGACAGATGCGGTAGCGCCAACTCATTCAGCCGAGACGGGCGACCAATCCCAAGATGAAGGCTATAGGACAACCCAATTGAAAGCTCGATCCGACTCCACGAGGAAGCGGAAAGTAAACTTTGCTTCAGAAGTATCCACAAATGACCTCATTAGCAGTGCGCCCAACCCAGTGGAAACCCTGTCCGCCGAGGAGAGCAAAAAACCTACCAGCAAAGGCAAGGTCCAGCATTACGCTCCTGGTACAACTGTCACCATTGAAAATGTTTTCGCGTTTCTTGACAGGGAACGGCGCTCAGGCGCATGTCGAATTGGCTATGGGAACACAATCAAGCGGATATACGATGACTATTATACTGCCCTTATGCAGGATGAGAGCACCCTCGATACTGTTAGAGAGGCTACTGATGCTATTCGACAAGTTATTGAGGAAATGCGTTCGGAAGTGCAGCAAGATGCTCGATTCGCTATCAATGTTGACGCGTATGCCCACCTTTTCCGCGAATTGGTCCTCCATCTTAAAATCACATACGAATGGTTATGTGCCAGGGAAATCATCATCACAGACTCTTTAGATGCCATGCGCATTGTTACCCCTTTCATGCTTGACATGCTATCACTCATAGATGCAATGGTACAGTGGAGTGTCTCAGTACCTCGGCGGTCCCACCGTGGTCGAGCTATCAAGGAGGTCGACTCCCATTTGGCTGCTCCCCTTCACACAGTTTGCGAAGCACACATTACTCGGCTAAAGCAGCTAGAAGCCGTTGAGGAGCGTTACCAAGAGATCCGGAATATTCATCGACAGCAAAGAGAACTGGCAGAGGAAAGACAAAGAGAAGAGGCAGAGGAAAGGCAAAGAGAACTGGACGCGTTGGCCCGTAAACAAAAACGACATCGGCGTTGGCAGGACTTACATATTGCACGTATGCAATGTGAGCCCGACCCGTTTAGGAGGCGGCAGCTGGCCATTACGCCGCTTGAGGACTTAGAGGAGAGGGATGCGAACGGTGTCAAGTTTGATCGACTTCGTGTCTTCAAACAACGATCTTCACCGTCATTCCACCAGGCAGCAATTCATTCATCGCAGCGTTTGTGGACTGATGATCAGGCGATTGCACTGTTGGAAACTGTGCAACGCCATGCAGGTATGATTTTCTCTTACGATAGTGACGTTCGCCTAGTCCTGATCAATTTCTCATAGGTCCAACGCTTTATGAGAAGATTTTTCAATCCCAGTGCCGCCCGGGTGGCATGCTACGTGACTTCACTGTTGCCGATATTGTGGCCAAAGTATCGTGGATACGTTCGTCGTGGCGTAAACTACACCAAGAGAAGGGGTGGGAAGCTCCTGAATGGGTAGCAGTTCTGCCTGGGTCACCTTAGACATTACCAATACCATTCTCCTACTTTAGATTCTATGGATTTTTAATATGTTACCTCCTATGCGATTAATAAATGCGTGATATAAACAAGTTTAAGTAGTTGTTCTAGTAGGGGGTCTCTTTGCTATTATTTCCTTAAGGTTTAGCTATAAGTTATATAATTGCCCCTATAGTGGCTATGTTTACCTATTTGAATTTAGACAAGTAAATATAGTAACGTACCTTATAGGTAAGTAGACCACACAGGTAAGGAGACGATTAGGCTAGCAAAGATAGGTTAGTGTATACCCCCTTAGGTATTAGGTTAGGTAAGGGTTACATAGGCTATATAGTTAGGTTAGATTATAGTTACATAGGCTATAGGGTTAGGTTAGGTTTAGGTTATATAGGCTATAGGGTTAGGTTAGGTTAGGTTAGGTTATATATATAAAGGGCTTAGGCTTATACCTAAGCCTAGGCCTAACACAGGATAGATAGAGTCTAACACTACTACTAAGCGAACACGCTACACACCTATAAAAAGGCGTAGAGGGCTTACCTCTCCTTTAAGATACTAAATACTATTATTAACGCTTATTATATTCTCTCTTAAGGCTAGTCTATAATATTTTAGTATCTTCTTCTAAATATACTATAATAGTAATAGAGATAAGCGCGCTAGATATTTAGAATAAGTAGGTATAACCTAATATAGTAGAAAGGCTAGTATAGTAGGTCTAAGAATTAATAGAATAATAGGCTTAAGACTCTACTATAATAGCTATACTATATAAGTAGAATAAGGAAATACGTAATTAGATTCTATCCTAACCCCCCTTTAAACCTGCTAGTTTTAATAACCTACTACCTCTACGCCCCTCTACCTTATATTATAAACCCTTCCTAGTTAGCTTACTATATAATAGCACTAAGGTAAACTTCTCCTTCTAGTATATAACTAGGGTGGTAAATAGGTATAGGTTAGGTTAGGGTTAGGTTAGCTTATATAAGACCCTAAACATAACCTAAACCTAAGTATAAATTTTCGCACAGGCTATAGGCTTAGGGTAGGGTTAGGTTATATAGACCTTAGGCTTAGGTTAGGTCTTACGTAAGTAGGTTAGGGTTAGGTTTAGGTTGCACAGACCTAGTGCTTAGGTTAGGTTTAGGGTCTTACTAAGCCACACGCTTTACCTAATAGGGTTAGTTCCTGTGATTAATAACTATAATACATAGTTATATTTCTAGGAGTATAGCCTATTAAAGCCTATTAATACCTACTTATATAAGACCCTACCTAAGCCTATAGTCTGTGTAACCTAACCCTAACCTAAGCCTATAGCCTATGCGACCTAACCCTAACCTAAGCCTATGGCCTATGCGACCTAAACCTAACCCAAGCCTATAGCCTATGCGACCTAAACCTAACCTAAGCCTATGGCCTATGCGACCTAAACCTAACCTAGTACTATAGCTAGTATACACTAACCTAGATTTACTAGCCTATAAATAACTATAGAATTTAAACTATATATAGATAAGGTCTTTATTAAGGATAAAGAGGTAAGGTTTATATATATTTAGTTCTAGTTATTACCTATAGTCTAGCGCGCTATAGTACTATACTTTAAGGATAGTATATATAAGTATTAGGATATAAGTAGGTTTCTTAACTACCTAGTATTCTATTATAGTAACTATTATAGGCAGAAGCATGCCTAAGTTATATTAGAACACCTATATTAGGGCTAAAAATAGCCTTTTATAGAGTTCTTTATAAATTTTATATAGCTTCTTATATAGTTTAGAGGTCTATACTAGGATAATAAATAGAAGCTTTTATAATTATACTAATTACTTAATAGCTATATACGCTTAGTTTCCCTTAATAGTGTAACAAGGCTAGGCTAAAATAGCTAGCGCTTACTAGATGCCTTGGCTAGACTTGAACAAGGTTCATAGGTTAGCACTAGGGTCTAGCACTATTATCTGTTAAGATATATATATTATACTATGCGAGGATTACTTAGCTTAAGTATTCTCGTGCGTACCTTTTGGACCATGGCCAAGTGGTACAGGCAGGGGAGATGACGTAGTATTCATTTCACAGGCAGGGCGCCTACCTTGTTACAAATAGGGGAGTCTCTAGGATAAACTATAATATAGCTATAGAAGAATATAAGATAATTATAGTAGATATTAAAATAGCCTCCCTAGAACTAGGCTTTCTTTAGGCTAGTAAGTCTAAGGAACCCTAGTAGAAAGCTACTCTAGATTAGGATAGTAATATAAATATAGTAGTAGTAGTAGCCTTATTAAGTATATATACTAAACTACTAATAATATATCCTAACTAGATTCTATAAGACCTATTTAATATATAGAAGCTAGTAAAGGTCTATACCTAGTATAGATAGGGTAGTTATTGTATATAGGCATATCCTAATACCCTATTACTATAACTAGTAGGTGTTAAGATAGTTATAGTATTAGCAAGCGGCCCTAATTTAGGAAACTAGCTACCCCTAACCTTAGGCTAAGTTAGGGGTATAAGGAGGACACTATAGTAGAGGAATTATTATTATAGACTAGCCTTAAGAGAGAATGCAATAAGCGTTAATAATAGTATTTAGTATCTTAAAGGAGAGGTAAGCCCTCTACGACTTTTTATAGGTGTGTAGCATGTTCGCTTAGTAGTAGTGTTAGACTCTGTCTATCCTATGTTAGGCCTAGGCTTAGGCTTACGCCTAAGCCCTTTACATACCCCTAGCCTTCCCTATAAGCTATTGTAAAATTATCTTTTTAGGGGTTTAGGGGTATATCTTTATCCTCTATACTCTATATTAGGCTTTATTACTATATATTTAGGTTTTATTATTATATCTTTATATTCCTTCCTAATTTATAATAGGCCTGTATATTAAGTAGTACACGCGCGTGCGTCTATAGGCTTATTTTAGCACCCTACTATAAAAGTTCTAATATAGCTATCCTACCCTACTATTAATTTCCTAAACTTACCTTGTCCTATAGCAGATTTTCCTTACTAATTAGCCTTCTCTCTACTCTTTTTCTATTAATCTAGCCCCTATTACCTTTATTATATCCCTATCTACTACTACTAGTGCTAGTAGTAGGGATCTACCGCAAGGTAGTTAGACCCTACGCTAGGCCTACTAACATAAGGTGCGTACTCCTAATATTCTCCTAATATTTCCTACACTAATTCTCTACCTATATATCTCCCTAAACCTAGTTACTTAGCACCTTTATTATTTCTAGTAACTTAAATAATAAGGAGTATAATAGTAGTTTTATAAAGCTACTTCCCTATAACTAGTATATTAACTAGCTCTATCTCTTTAGTAAGTATAACTATTAGAAGGGTAGTAGTAAGTTCCTCTTAATTTTTATATTCTTTATAGCAAGTTCTAACTATATCTAGGGCAATTGTGCAAGTCTTATTATTAAGGTTATAAGACCTACACTAGGTTAGAGGGTATCCTTGCTAATAACCCTAATATCTACTAAGCCCTCTATAACTAGCTTTAGTTTTATTATAGTTACTAGGAGGATTGCCTCTATATTATAAAGCAAGGGACCCTTAGGACCTTTATAGGAAAACCTACTAAAGGCACCTACTACTAGTTTATACTATAATTCTACTAGCTCTACTATTAGTTTAAGGATCTTATATTAAGGGCTTAAACTAATAACACTATTACTCTACTTACGCCCTCTACCTACTTGCGTGCTTATAATTAGTATTAGCTTAGTGCTATTATTCTATCTACTACTAGTACTCTAGTATTTCTACTTTAGTCTACTATTATAATATTATATAGTGGTTATAGCAATAATAATATTATATAGCTAGCTGCTACTACTAGTATTACCTTCTAGCGTATTAACTAGCGTATAAATAAGACTTATGCCTAAACTAACCTTTATATTAATAAGCTTAAGACCGCTGCTAAGCGCACTACCTCTAGTATTAAGACTCTTATTATTAGTATTAATTTTTCCTTATTCCCTTACCTTTTATTCTAATATTTATTTTTCTCTAGGCCTAGGGTGCTATATATTAGTAGACTATTAAAGTAGTACCTATATCCTACTACTACTACTACTACTATTTATACTTATTAACTAAGTCTTCCCCTACCTATGCTATATAAGAGCGTTGCTACTACTACTAAGAAATATAAAAGCGTTAAAATAATACAGATAATAGTTAGGGAGAAGCTAATAGGGGGTTAGGCGTAGATAGTAATAGTATAGATACTACTACTTAGTAGTTAGCTATATTATAAAGTTTTATTAGTAGGGCACTTACCTAGAGTGTTATTGGTATTATATAAAAGCTATCTCTAGTACACTTTTGCTTCTTAATTATAATAAAGTTCTAAGTTATTATTCTAGTTTTATTCTACCCTTGCTTCCTAGCTTTTGTACATATAAGGCTATTATTGTGCGTAATATCCCTATAGTATTCCTTAAACCTATCTAGAGCCTCTATATCCTACACTACCTCTAGCAGGTGCTATATTAGATTAATATACCCCTTCTATTTTACTAGGACTTAACACTTTCCTTTTCCTCTTATATTCTTTATATAAAGGATCTCTTCTACTTCCTATTTATCTAGTATTGTATCTTTATTTTCTAGTGTAACTATTAGGCCTAGTTATAAGTCCTAAAGCTTCTAGCTTAGTAGCAGATTATTAGCGGCTCTCTCTAGTAGATCTATATGCACAGTCTTATATAAGTTCCCTAGTAAGTCTAATACTACTATTAGTAGAGTAGGAACTTCTATTACTTTATACTAGGCTAGTAAATCTAGGTTAGTGTACACTAGCTGTGGTACTAGGTTAGGTTTAGGTTGCACAGACCTAGTGCTTAGGTTAGGTTTAGGTTATATAGGCTATAGGCTTAGGTTAGGTTTAGGTTATATAGGCTATAGGCTTAGGTTAGGTTTAGGTTGCATAGGCTATAGGCTTAGGTTAGGTTTAGGTTATATAG